GGTCGTTTCGAGAGAATGTCAGATTACAGGTGAACAAAATGAATCAATATGATGAGGAATGTTCTTATTGTGAATGTTGTGAAATTTGGATATTACATACTTATTTCAATGTATAATTTATGGCTATTCATGTATTCTGCCATTATCTATCCTATTGTTTTTACAATATTCTCTATCAAAACTAGCACCGTAATATTTGACTGAGCGATATTTACGGTATTGCCATGGCAACCATTCTGTCAGTTGGTTCCTGTAACTTAGTAACTGGTTGACATCACATACCAGGGTGCCGTTGTACAAAACAACCTAAACGCTACAACTGTCGTAAGTCGATGTTAGGTCTGGGTGTTACGTTCATCTTAGCGCTAAGATCGCTTTGTACAGCGGCACTGAGGACAATAGATCGCCCTGCCGTATACATCAAGGTATATCCTTTGAAATCGCGCCTTATTGATTTTTACTGTATATTTGTAGTTTAATACGGTATATTTTCTATATGTAAGAGTTTATGTTTTTCAATGTAAGAGTTTAGCGCGCAGAGATAACTTGGTGTAAATTTAAGCTGAGAGGTTAACATCACATACCAGAGCAAGACCGCATTACAGTAAACATCAAAGTGAATGTATATCCTTTAAAATTTGTACAGCGGCACTGAGGACAATAGATCGCCCTGCCGTATACATCAAGGTATGTCCTTTGAAATCGCGCCTTATTGATTTTTACTGTATATTTGTAGTTTAATACGGTATATTTTCTATATGTAAGAGTTTATGTTTTTCAATGTAAGAGTTTAGCGCGCAGAGATAACTTGGTGTAAATTTAAGCTGAGAGGTTAACATCACATACCAGAGCAAGACCGCATTACAGTAAACATCAAAGTGAATGTATATCCTTTAAAATCGCGCCTTATTGTTATTTACTGTTTATATAAGTTTTTTCTGTTTATTTTTATATATGTTAATCAGTTTCAATGTTAATAGTTTCATGTGACCGCCTCTACGGTCCGGTGGATAGAGCGTCTGCAGAAGGTTGGTGGTTCGATCCCCGGCCACGTCATGCAAAATTCCATGAGTTACGTCCCTTAGCCATGCCAGGATCGGTCGTTGGTTTCGAATACCAGATTCATCCTAATTGCGACCCTGACTTGTCAGGACCATACCCCTGCTCGAGGGTCCTATAAGAGTGCTGCCGCCTTCGTGGTCTTGTGGTAGAGCGCCCGACCGGAGACTGGAAGGTCCACGGTTCGATCCCCGGTCGCGTCATACCAAAAACATTAAAAGATGGTTCTTGTTGTTACCATGCCTGGCGCTCGGCATTAAGGGGAGGACTGGTCGGTTCGGAGTATACTGTGTCTTAGTGACTGTGGTTTTCGTGTTAAACTGCGGCATGGTATCTCAGTGGGCTAGCACTACAGAACTAGTCCGGACTAGTACACACACACACACACACACACACACACACACACACACCTGGATCTTCTCGGGGGACAAGCATGGGTTGCTGAAGACCAATTATAATCTGGATTTCACGGGGGACAAGCATCGGTTGCTGAAGTCCAATCGTGATAGAGCGTCTGCCCGGAGAGTGGAAGGTCCTGGGTTCGATCCCGGCCGCGTCATGCCAAAAAACATTAAAAGATGGTACTTGTTGCTACCCTGCCTGACTCTCGGCATTAAAGGGATAATACAGAGCTAGTGTACTGTGTGGGGTACCCATGTTAAACTGCGGCATGGTCTCTCATTGCCTACCGCTATAAAACCAAACAGACTTTATCTTGCAGGCCTAGTTTTCATTTTTTTCAAAATAAAATACCAGCGTTTTATCTCTTGCTTGCAACGCCTCAAGTCGAACATTAAAACGTTTCTCTGATGTAGACAGGCTTAATTTCAAGGAGCATGGATAATATATTTTTTTTCATCGCCAAAACATTCTATCTTTCAAATCCGTCTTTCACAAATGTTCACCGATTTAATAACTAAGAAATCTTTCATCTAAGACATAAAAGCCGAGAAAACTGTACAACAGTTCGCTGTGATATTTACATCACATATCCTCGGGGATTTCCGTGTCGTGCACCCTGTAGCGACAGGATGTTCGTGCGCCAGTGCAGCTGGTCACGTGACCGCCTCGGGTTGTGATGGTTGATTACGGGTGTGATCTTCACAACATTGTCTGTCAAGAGCGTTCGAACATCTGATAAATGCGTCCTAACACGGCCCCCGCTCGCCCCCGGGCAATTTGGCTAAGCACTGGGTTAAGACGATTTGTGTCCTTTCAGGGTTACGCGTTGTGACGTAATCACATTATGTGTACACGTCATCGCTTTTCTTGACAAATCTCTCTCGTATATTTGCTACAAGGGTTTTTATCGGCCTAACTAATTATATAGAGGCTCTTAAGTCACCAAGATAGACTCGCTAGTTGACATTGTGGAACCTACTATAAATGTAGGGTAATCTGTCGTTTCACAATTTCTGTGTGTGTGTGCGCTCAGATACCATGAAATGTAACAAAAATGTTATGAATAGCAGTGTTTTTTAAAGAATAATGTTGAAAAACAAATTTATTTACATCCCCTATAAATATATAATATGAAAATTCAATTAAAACCTGAAAAACTCACTCCTCCACCTTTTCCCTTCCAACCTAACGTTTTGAGGAAACATATATTTGAAATTGGAATTGGTATTTTTATGATTTATTTGATCACACCGCTACGACTGTCGTAAGTCAATATTAAAGTATGGGAGTTACGATCGTCTTAGCGCTACGGTCGCTTCGTGGAATGGGGCCCTTACTTCTTGGGCCCCAAATTCGTAAACCGAAAATGCCCAGAAATCTGGCCTAAATCCGGGCATTTATGAATACGAAGATTTCCCTCAGAAAAGTACTGTTCGTTTTACGGGTGTCAATTTAGTTTCCTTGTATCACTTACAGTAAACTACGGTTATAACGAATTCAAAGGGACCACTAATTTTAGCTCGTTGTAGCCGTAGTTCGTTATATGCATATATACAGCATAACTACAGCAAATAGTCGGGACAAAAAAGTAAGTTCGTTATATCCGTCAGTTCGTTATAAGCGTGTTCGTTATAAACGTAGTTTACTGTATATACTGAACAAAACAAGTTAGGGATCATGAATATTTTTGGGATATGTTTGTTCTGAAGACTGAGCAAAATAATTCATAATCCTTTACATTTTTTGTTCAGTATACAACAAATTGTCGTGGCTCCTGGTCAAGCGTTCAAAACACGCAGGAAGAACCAGTCCAATCTTAATACGGTCGCTCAGTTTGGTCCTTGATATTTGCTTCAGCCGTTTCATTTTAAGGCAATATTTGGTTGGCGTACAGAATATGGTTCAACGCTGACCCCTTTGCACGGACAATGAATCTATAATCCACATACGTGATTGGTTGTGGGTAGTTTGTATTTTCACATGGACAATGTCCAAACAATAAATCTTAGAATGTTTTTCCTTAATAATAACAAACACAGAGTTTGCCAGCTTTTAATCGAAATACCTTTAACAAACAGTCGGTAATAGCATATACTCGGCCGCTGAGAGGGAATGTGTTTTCAGAGGGTGTCTCATGATCGGGGTATGTTGACATTCCACAGTGTTTTCCTTCTTCACCCTCATTGTATTGTATTATAGTGGATCAAATAGCCCGAATTCCTTGTGTGAAGTGGTCAGTATCGTACACCCCGACCAATCCTAGATGGCAAATAATGCGCGATCAGCCCCTCACTTCGTTTTTTTTCATGCCAACCAATTCCAGTCACAGGACGCTTAATGACAATCGGCTTTCACGTTGTGACGATATGAAGACTCGAACCCAGCGTGACGAACCAACGTTTTAACTAGTTTGTTTGTTGTTTAACGCCGAAATCAGAAATAGTCCACTCTATGAAGGTGGGCTGTAAATAATCGAGTCTGGGCAATCCAGTGATTGACATCACGAGCACCGACCTACACTATTGGGATACAATGACATGCATCAACCAAGTCAGCGAGCCTGACCACCCGATCCCGTTAGTTGCCTCTTACAACAAGCATAGTCGCCTCGAACGGCAAGCATGGATTGCTGAATTCTACCCCGCATCTACACGGTCTCTTTAGCTAGTGGACTAACTTTACTAATATTCCGACCCGTGAAGATCCGGGGTAGAATAGCTCTTCAGCAACCCATGCCTGCCGAAAAAGGCGACTATGCTTGTCGTAAGAGGCGACTACCGGAACCGGGTGGTCAGCGAGCGACAGTAATTTAAGTAATTTAACAGTATTCAAGTTATATCGCGGCGTGTCAGCTTAATGTTGGAGGAAAGCTCGAAGTGATGCAGGTCTCAGACGTTTACTACTTCGGTGAAACCCACGAGCACGGGTATGGTGCTGACAAACCTAGAAACATAATCGGGGCGAAACCGGGATTCGAACCCACAATCATAGGTTTCTGGCGTGCCCAAGGGACGCAACTCTGCACAGCGAATCGCGGCGCCTAAGACGACCGCAACACATCACTTGCTTAATAACGGTGTTAGAACCTACACCGAAACGCCCTCCTAATTGTAATAAAGCAGTTGTTCATCCATATATATTATTCTTACTTACTGCAATTTAACACAAACTGCGCCAAAACCGCATTGTTCAAGAACTGAATTCGACTAGACATACAATTTGGAAGCACCGCAAAAATAGAAAATGATTAAATCATTATTTAACAATATATATAATAAATTCAGCTATATCGTATTACTGAAATATACGAACTCACATATGCAGAAGACTCATATTAACTCAACCGTATGAATGCTTGTGAAATGAAATGTGGCTATTGTTTAGACCAACCGAAACATGACGGCACAAACTGCATGCAGTAACCACTTATCGGCCTTCCTGCACGGGTGAGACTGTACTATTACAGGTGTTGTGGAGATTGGTAAGCTCACAAAAAACCCAATTGTCCCCACGCCGAGATCCACCATTCAGAACACACCGCGCGCCAGGACGATGCGTGTGGCAGACAACCTCGGGCGTTTGGTCGTATAGATTGAAGCAGTTGTATCTCGACTTCACTGTTGCCCACACCTGAGAGAGCCAACGCTGTGTTTAGGGGTACCCTCGGGCTGAAACAGGCGCTTACACCTGTAGAAGAATAGATTTGACATCGTGATCGCACGCTGGAGACAATTAGTTGAGTTCAAAAGGACACATTGTGTTGTCATTCTGACCGGACGAACGAGGTATACTGACCGAGGAGAGCCGCTTTCATTGCATTACAGGTAGGTTAGGAATTGTTTGTAATTTCTTGTGGTTTTAAGTTGTAGATCAGTTTTATAGTTTTTTAATAAGTCTAAGATTTGATCTTTTTGGAGGATATGTCTTCGGGAGCATACACGTACAACTCCATTATTTCCGCGACAATGGCAACGATCTCCCGAAGCGGTACAGAAATTCTGACGAGAAGTATCACTCGATGCGACAATATTCAGATTCAAACAGACTTATGCTCTTAAACAAGCGGTATTCTACCTTCTTCACGCAGTTTTATTGTTTATGTTTGTAATATTATCCAAACTGTATCATCCTTCGAGAAATCAGGCGTAGAGATAATATGCTCTGACTTCATTCAATAGATCGGTTTTCCACGTTCACAAATAATTCTTAAAACTTAATATGAATTAATACCCTTTATAGTTCACTGCAGTACACGCTCTATTAGGAAACCAGATACTATGTACGTAGAGAATATACCCGTTGTTATATTGTTATTGTTACCCATGCGACTACGTGTAGTTGAAGTGTTAATGATAATAATACCATGTACAGACAAGTAAGATCATGTTATAAATGGATTTGCCTTATTTAGTATATTTTTTCAAGGATGGTAATGACGTTAGAAGCTGACAATAGAAGTCATGGCTGGTTACTCTTTTAGCAGAATATACCAAGGGATTTACATAATTGTAGACTACCTAAAGTCCAGAAATAAAAAAATCATTTAAAACTATATATACAAAATACAACATAGAATCCAAATGGACCCCTGAACAATAGAACAATAGAAATAGAAACATGTCTGTGGGAGTGGATAGGTTTATGAGTCTGTATAGTACATCAATGACAGACGGACAGATCTTTTATGTTTTTGATGTCGGGGAGTCTGAACGCTAATTGTTCACCACATCTTTTGTTCCCTATAAACACAGTAACGGTTCATTTCCCTTGTGTCTTGATAACATGTGGTCACACAGAACTCAAATCGAAATAAATAGATACCATTATGCAATACCTCTGCAATATCCAGTAAAGGAGGAACCCGGTAACTAAACGAGCGTAGTGTAACATGACTACCGGGATACCAACATACCAGGATACGAAATGACACGGAACGAGAAATAACGAACACGGATCTTACACAATAAACAAGATAGCTCTGACAATTCCTATACGTGCAAACCGATTGTCTTTAGTTATCAAACTGGAAGAAAAAATATGAAGACGTTTGTAAACTTAAAATGTGAGGACGGGAGCTTTCTTTCACATCTTGTTTTGTCCTCACGAGGTGAGACGATGAAGACAATGATAAGACAATTTATGCACGACTTTAACGTATTTTATTCTTGCTCTCTTGCAAGTTGAAACGCGACATCACAAGGTTTACGCTGTGCTGATGCAATTCATCATAAATAATGGTTATAAATTATTTAATTTTAAACCAGCCTTACCAGGACGTTTGATATTATTTATATGTATAAGATTGGAATTACCCCATGCTGTTGTGTGACCTCTCAAACTACCCTTTCTATTCTACTCCCCCCCCCCCCCCCCCCACACACACACATACACCCTCACACTCCCTTCTCTCAGGTCATCGCGCACCCTCTCTCCGACCTATTGCCATACAGTGAGATAGTGACTTCCCGTATATACGAGTGATGGAGATAGTTTGGTTGGTTGGGGAGAGATAATACGACTGTGTACGAGTTTTCCCTCACAACCCCTCGTCAGACTCAAGTAGGTTTATCTGCTGGGATATATCGAGACCAAAGGAAATAGGAGAGGGGGGATACCGGATAATTAATTACCCCCTCCTCCCCAGTGACGAATGCTTGTGTTGATGTGCTGAGGGGATGGAAGTGTCACCTCACCCTGGTCACCTTCTCCTCCCCTTTCTCCGACCTTGACCCCATGACCACGCCTCCCCCGATATACAGCTGGGCCAGACGTGTCTTGGACAGTGTCCTTTGTAGTGTCTTGTACAGTGTATTTTATAGTGTCTTGTACAGTGTCGTTTGTAGTGGCTTAGGCAGTGTAGTTTGTAGTGTATTGGACAGTGCCTTTTGTAGTGTCTTGTACAGTGTCATTTGTAGTCGCTTGGGCATTGTCTTTTGTATTGTCTTGGACAGTGTCTTTTGTAGTGTCTTGGACAGTGTCTTTTGTAATGACTTGGACAGTGCATTTTGTAGTGACTTGGACTGTGTCTTTTGAGTGTCTTGGACAGTGTCTTTTGTAGTGTCTTGTACAGTGTCATTTGTAGTGGCTTGGGCAGTGTCTTTTGTAGTGACTTGAACAGTGTCTTTTGTAATGTATTGGACTGTGTCTTTTGTAGTGTCTTGGACAGTGCCTTTTGTAGTGTCTTGGACAGTGTCATTTGTAGTGTCTTGGATAGTGTATTTTGTAGTGTCTTAGAAGTGCCTTTTGTAGTTTCTTGGACAGTGTCTTTTGTAGTGACTTGGACAGTGTCTTGTATAGTGTTTTGGACTGTGTCTTTTGTAGTGTCTTGGACAGTGTCATTTGTAGTGTCTTGGATAGTGTTTTTTGTAGTGTCTTGAGAAGTGTCCTTCGTAGTGTCTTGGGCAATGTATTTTGTAGTCTCTTGGACAGATTCTTGAGCAATGTCGTGTACAGATTAACGAGCAACGTCTTGCACGTATTCTCTAGCACTGCCTTTTGCAGTGTCTAATGAGTGAATGGGTCTTATGGGTGAATGTATATGCTTGACGCCGCTTTTGGCAATAATCCAGTCATATCACTGCAAGGGACACCAGAAATGGACTGCACGTGTTGTATCCAAGTAGGGAAGGGAACCGGGTCTTCGGCGTGACGAGCGAACACTTTAACCGCAACGCTACCCCACCGCCCCGTGGCTTAAGCTGTCTTGGGGAGAGTAAGGCGAATTGTCATGGGGAGAGATAGACAGTGTCTTTCATACCCCTTCCCATCGTTCAATATAGGTTTTAGTTCAAATGAATACCTAATCGATATGTCGAGCAATATTTCAAAACAGACAGTGACGTTTCTACATTCCACGACCACCAGCAAGTCACGGAAGAGGGGACATTGAACATAAAACGTTATTGGATCCCGCAATACCGTTCCTAGTCAATAGATATGCATGTATTGTATTGGGTCGGTGAAATAAATTCGTCAGCTGTTGTAGATTGAGATTCAGACCAGGCAACACCTGTGCGTTCTGCCAGACTACACATGACCCATGTACTGTGATACTAGGGATGTATTGATGTAGTGCTAGTTTACTGTTATGCCTGTACATGTCGCCTGCACAGCGCATAATGTAGGTCAGATTAGCCAATAATATACTCCGCTATTCATAAATTTATCAAATCGGAATATGGGATCTACAGACACCCTAGTAATAGCTTCACATCGTATTCCAACGATGTTTTAAGTTGCATTTGGTTTGTTTGTTGTTTAATGCTGCAATATTCCAGCTATATGACGGCGGTCTGTAAAGTATCGAATCTGGACCAGACAATCCAGTGATTGACATCATGTGGATCGGTGATTAGATCAAACAGTGAATTTTGTTGTTCAGACTCGCGTTGAACAAGAAAAACAAAATGCAACTATACACATTTACTATACAGTGAACTACGTTTATAACGAACACACTTATAACGAACTGGTCTTTTGGTCCCGGCCATTTGCTGTATATACGCTGTATGTTTGCCTATAACGAACTGCGATTATGACAAACTAAAACTAGTAGTCCCTTTGAGTTCGCTATAGCCGTAGTTTACTGTATTAGTCCGGGCACTATCGGTTTAAATCGATCGGATTATCAAATTTCCCGATAAACGAATTATTGTTACAAAACAATGTTACTTATGATTATGACAACGTTATTAACAGTAATCGTCCGTAATAGGGGGGTCCTGATTAACGGGGTCCGGACTGAAGGCATTTCACTGTAGACAGAAATACGTCAGAAAGTTTGATAAGTGACTTTGATCCAACTTCTACAAATATAGTATTTGCACAAGGAGAAACTACTGTCAGATTAACCAGATATACACTTTAAAAATTTCGCGTAAGAGTGCATTCTTTGGATACCTGAGTGAGTGAGTGAGTATGGTTTTACGCCCCTTTTAACAATATTCCAGCACTATCACGGCGGGGGACACCAGAAATGGGCTTCACACATTGTACCCATGTCGGGAATCGAACCCGGGTCTTCGGCGTGACGAGCGAACGCTTTAACCACTAGGCTACCCGACCGCCCATTTGGATACCTGAGTACCTGGGTACTACTACTGATAATTCTATTATGATAGACCCATCGCCACTACAGCTTCCTTTTGAGCAATTCGAATGAAACGACGCTAAAAATAGCCATCCAATCAAATAACTCTCACAAGCGAGAGAAAGTATTAGGATAAGTTAGTGACAGGGGGGCTGGAGATACTGACGTCACTTCCGCAAAACTAACATGGCGAATGAGTCCAGGGTGATTATAGTCATAGAAAGGACAGATAACAAATCGAGGATGAGATTAGGACTATTTCTTATAAAGATAAACATGCATTTTTGAGCAAATGAGTCGGTAACAGATGTTTTGGTGTCACCTTAAAACTTCCTCAACAGGACTTAAAGTGGCTTTCATTAAAATAGTTATAGGGACGGTCTCAAAATAGTTATGGGGACGGTCTCAAAATAGTTATGGGGACAGTCTCAAGCATATATCTTTATTTATCCGAAAGTACGAAAAATGAACGTGGGCGAAAACTGGTATATTCTAGTTTGTAAGTAGACGCTGTGTTTGGTTGTAATCGTATTTGTTGAAATTCCGTCGGTTGACGCATACCTCGAACGCGTTCATGTGTATACGGTGGGAAGCCTGACGCACGTTACTGATGTATTAAATGCTACTTAATAGAAGAAGAAGAAGAAGAAGAAGAAGATTTTATTAACGTCTCACTTGTATACCACATTTTTGTTAAAACAAATTAAAAATATAGTTACATTAAAGTTGTATACA